AACCCAGTGCCAGAGGCAGCAAAACAACCCCAAAACATCATTGAACCTCCACCATATTTTACCGTAGGTACTGTGTTTTGTTCTTTGTAGGCCTCATTCCGTTTTCGGTAAACAGTAGAATGATGTGCTTTACCGAAAAGCTCTATCTTGGTCTCATCTGTCCACAAGACGTTTTCCCAGAAGGCTTTTGGCTTACTCAAGTACATTTTGGCAAACTGTAGTCTTGCTTTTTTATGTCTCTGTGTCAGCAGTGGGGTCCTCCTGGGTCTTCTGCCATAGCGTTTCATTTCATTTAAATGTCGACGGATAGTTCGCGCTGAACACTGATGCTCCTGAGCCTGCAGGACAGCTTGAATGTCTTTGGAACATGTTTGGGGCTGCTTATCCACCATCCGGACTATTCTGCGTTGCAATCTTTCATCAATTTTCCTCATCGTCCACGACCAGGGAGATTAGCTACAGTGCCATGGGTTGCAAACTTCTTGATAATGTTGCGCACTGTGGACAAAGGCAAATCTAGTTCTCTGGAGATGGACTTGTAACCTTGAGATTGTTGATATTTTGCCACAATTTTGGTTCTCAGGTCTCAGACAGTTCTCGTCTCCTCTTTCTGTTGTCCATGCTTAGTGTGGCACAGACAGACACACAATGCAAAGGTTAAGTGAACGTCTCTCCTTTTTATCTGCTTTCAGGTGTGATTTCTATATTGCCCACACCTGTTACTTGCCCCAGGTGAGTTTACAGGAGCATCACATGCTTGTAACATTCTTATTTATCCGCAGTTGTGAAAGGGTGCCAATACTTTTGTCCAGCCCATTTTTGGAGGTTTGTGTGACATTATGTCGAATTTGCTTTCTTTCCTCCCTTTTTTTTTTTTGTTTTGTCCCAATACACACAAAGGGAATAAAATGTGTATAGCAAAACATGTGTTAATGCAATACGTTTCGTGAGAAATACATGATTTCCTGGAGAAATATCAAGGGTGCCAACAATTTCGGCCATGACTGTATATGGCTAGATAAATGATGTGAACCTTTGTTTTGTTTGGATTATCCAATAGCTACTCTGCAGAGTCCGTGATCTCTTGTTGCATGTCTTATGTCCGATAAACCATGTTCTTTGCATTGTGTTGAAATTTACTCATTGTGACATGACTATTGTTCATTTGTTCTGTTATTTGAAAACTGTTCAACAAAAAACTATTGTAATATAAAGCCTAAACATTTTTGTACCTTAATACATTCCTTTGCATTAAGGTAAAAAATGTTTAGGCATCAGTATTTCCCCTCACCCCTCCTTATACTTACCTGAGCCCTCATTTGATCCAGCGCTGGGTGCGTCTGCAGCTCTTCTTTCCCCTCACTTCCTGTCTCACTTAACTTTGCAGAGACAGTCAATCAAAGCCATTGACAAGGGAGCTGAAAGCAGGGCCGAGAGGAGCAAGCCTGCACAATTGTCTCCATAGAACATTACTCTCTATGAGGGAACTTGGTGGAGGAGAGGAGCCAGGAGTGCCGGCGGGGGACTGAGAAGAGGAGTTTTCGATACCGCTCTGTGCAATTCCATTGCACAGAGCAGGCAAGTATAAACCTGTTTGTTATTAAAAAATCAAACAAAAATAAAAAAAACTAAGCATTTAAAATCACTTTAAGAACACAAGTAGAAACAGCAGGTACAGCCCTAAATCTAAGTCACACCACAAAGGCTGAAAAATATCTTAGGTGATTGATATTACACATTCAGTGATGAGCCCAGTACTTTACTTGCAAAGAAATTGGCACAGATGAAGCAGACTATGGCTCTCTCAAACTTACACCTTAGTATTGGCTCAATCACTCCAAATCCACAGCTAATTTTACATGAATTTTTCCCTAAATAAAGAGAAGATCAATTCTTTTATGATCTCCCACTACCTCATCTTACAAGAGAACATAAAGACTTATTAGAAGGCGACTTTACGAAGGGGGGAGTTAAAGCAGGCAAATTTAGAATTTTATACCAAAATTAGAGATTTATACCATGCTGAATACTACAATGACAAAATTATTGTATATAAATGGTAACACGATATGGATGAAGAAACTGATATAAATTACTGGCATACACTGGCTCAGTCTACATCTACGTAAGTTGTCAATACTTTGGTTATTGAAGCAAACTGTAAAGTGATGCTTCATCGGTATATGGTTCCATTGAGGCTGGCTTGCTTCAGGGGGTGTGGAAGGAGGGTACAGCTTACCATGTTTGGTGGATGTGCCCGAAAGTCAAAATGTTCTGGATTTGCATATATAATTGGATATACTCCTTGACCCAGATTAACCTAAAAAAAAATCCTCCCTGCAGGCATTACTGAACTAATCAATAGAGGAGACAACGAGAAAGCTGATCTCATTTTAGTTATAGCAGCAAGAATTACATTAGTCAGATCTTGGACATTGCCAAACATACTATTCGGCCTGATGAAAGCCAAAATGACGTGTGTAACAACCTCCTAGGTAGGTTGCTAGCATGTACATTGTCTAGTTTAGTATAGTGTGGTCTCCTGCTTAACAGGACACCGATAGGCAAAACAGCAGCTTTTCTGCTTAACAGAAAGCTACCATTGTTTAGTGAGGATAACCTGTGTGGCTCACAGTGCTGCTGCTGTTATAGGCTCCTCTATATCCAGGTGACTTTGGAAGGTTCTGGGTGAACAGGAGTGACCCATGCAGATCAGCAGCATGAATATAGATGCAGTTCCAGCCAATTACAGGTAGTGGTGCCCCTGAGAATGCTGGGTACTGGCATGCTGAGTACTGGTATTTATTGTATATTCAGTGAGCACATGGGAACTTCTTCCTTTTCCTTGGAGATGGGAGTTCCAGCCAGGGAGGCGGCTGCCTCCCTGGCTCATGCTGCCAGGAGGCCTCCGGAGGGCGACCTGAGGGCAAGAAAGCTGAAACCCAGGGTGCTTCTGAGAGCTGACTGAGGGGGGTGTCTACAGATCCTGTCTGGTATTATGGATTAAGGTGACCTGCAGTAAGGGCCTTGTGAGTACAGACTGTTCTACATGGATGCCAAGCTGTAACGAGTAGGGCCCTTGGTTTCCTCTTGTAAAGCACTGCGCAAACTGTTGTCGCTATATAAATTCTGTATAATAATAATGCTGGGACTTGTGCTGTTTAGTCCTTTGGGACCTACATAATCAGCTAGTGGGTGTAAGCTAGAGGGACACTGGCTGTTGTCCAGAAGAGCAACTGTCCACTAAGTTCTGCATTTTTACAGTGGGACTTTGCTCTGTTTTTTTGTGCAGTTTGCTACACATATCTACTTACAGAAAGCTTTCTTCAATTGTGCATAATTCAGTTCGGAGTATCCCACTATTTCCCTTCCCTATCCCAGTTCTAAAACAAAATAAAAACAACAAAAACTAAAACCCCTAGACTGATCACTGGAGTAATGAGGGGAAGTTGTGTGCACCTAGTTATAGTAAATGCTGTGTGCTTGGCTGCAGGAGAAGATCTAGGGGAAAGCCTGTGCAAGAAACAAGCGGCTCCTACGGGGGTAGCGCTACACATGAATAATGACAAATGAAAACTTTCTGCTATTCTGAATGATAAAGTTAGTTGTTTAAGAAAACCTTGGCTTACTTACATACTTTATCTGGAGAAAAACAAAGTTATTTGTTTTGACCCAAGGGACAGACTGGTTGATATTTTTCTCAGTAGGTTTCTTTCCTCATCTCACTCCTTTTTCTTTCTTTTCTCACCTTTCTCTTTACTTTCATTTACAATATTCACAATTGTATAATGAGCATTTGTATATTTTTATTAAAGGGGTGCTCATGATCACACAATGTGTTCCCACAGGACAACTGCTATAGTATACTTCAGCTTATCTCTTCTGTTTTTCTCCCATGGGGAGGCCCTTCTCACACCATGGTGATCACCATACTTACTGAATAATATAAGACAGATAAGATGGATATGGTTAGGATATATCAGTTAACTTTACCTACTTGAAGCCTCGGCTTCTTAGAACTCCATATAAATCTTGTGAAGGCAGATTGTAAGGTCTTAAAGAAAGTCCAGGGGACGGCTATTGCCAGAGTTTGAAATAGGTAAAGGAAACACGGTGTAATATCCATTTTCAGGATATTAATCCTGTTGAACCAAGAATATGGGGAGAGATCATATGTCTTTAAGTCCTGCACGTTATGCTGAAAGAGGGGGGTAAAGTTTTCTGAATATAGTGAGGACAGGTCAGAAGGAATCTTGATATCTAAATACTTAAGAGAGCCAGTACAAAACTTAAAAGAGAAGTAGTAGTGCTTTGAAATTACTGAATTTGCTGTACTGCTGAAATTCCCGCAGGATAGATGGTGAGGACATGTGTGGATTTGTTACATGGAGCAACAAGTCATCAGTGAATAACGCCAATTTCACTTCCTCAGAGCCTGTGGGGACTCCTGTGAAGCTGGAGTTCTTACGGAGGGTGACGGCTAAATGTTCCATAATCAGAACATAGAAAAGTAGGGATAATGGAACCCTGCATGGTCACATTGGCAATATAGAAACTAGGCATCAGGGAGCCATTAAGTCTTAATCCTGGTGCTCGGCCTCAGGGGCGGACTGACAACTCATGGGGCCCCTGGGCAATAGAGGATCATGGGGCCACTGTGTCCTTGCCCAAACTCAAAAAAGCCTATGAAAAAGGTACCAGGGGCATCTCATGGGGCCCCCTACTGACCCTGGGCCCTCGGGCAGTGCCCGAGTTTCCAAATGGTCAGTCTGCCCCTGCTCAGCCTAGTATATGCCAGAATTTTTTGCTGCAGGGTGGGGCCTAATTCTATCTGTGACAACGTCTGGGCCAAAAACAACCACCCAATCCTGTCAAATGCCTTCTTGGTGCCAATGGAGAGGAGGCAGACAGAAAGTTTGGCAGATCCGGCATGGTCCATAACTAACAATGCTAATCAGAGTGCCCCTTAACATAAAATGTGCCCATCAGCATGCCCCTTATTTAAAGTTAGGGGGCACTCTGATGAGCACATTTTATGTTAAGGGACACTGTAATGGGCACATTTATATTAAGGGGCACTCTGATGGATACATTTTATGTTAAGGGGCATTCTGATGAGAACATTTTATATTAAGGGGGCACAAATGGACACATACAGTGGAAAGGGGCACTCTGATGGGGAATATGATGTAAAGGGGCACTCTGATGGGGAAATATGATAGAAAGAGGTACTTTGGGTGTAAGGGAGCACTCTGACGAGAATACCTAATGTAAAGGGGCACTCTGATGGGGACAACTGATGTAAAGTTGCACTCTGATGGCGACACCTAAGGGGGCACACCCTATTCAGACCTCAGCCAGAAGAAAATTTTAGTGACCAGACCTCCTTGAATTTTATTTAAATACCCCTGCTTAGAGTATGATGCCAGAGGCTGGTCTATAGAACAACTTTTTTTCATTAATATTGAAATGAAACAAATAATAATGAGCAGAAAAGAAATGCAAGCATTGGAAATTGAAGTGTTCCTACGCATTGGTTGTCAGAAAAGTTACCATTTACATTGGTGGTCAGGATGAATGCTCCCTTATAATTTGTGGTTGGGGTGAAGAATGCTGCCTCTCCTACAGATATAGCAGCTAAAAAGATAATTGGTGTTAGTGGTTACTTATCTGAGAGTTAGAAAGTGCTCACTGCTCAAGGAATCCTTAACAAGTTCTGGACAAACCTTAGGGTTTTATGGAACTCTGGTTAAGCAAGGCTGCTGTAGGTTTTCAAATTCTCAGAAAGCTTAAGTAGAGTGTAGGCACCTGGATGTCTCTGCTGTGCACTCACACAGATATATAGATATAACAGATACACTTTAATGCTGATCCAAATCATATATTCATATATACCATATAGTCCTTAATTTGAAAACAAGTCACAGGCATTTTAGAGGGCTACCATGATTTCATTATATGGCATTTACCGCCACCTCATGGTCAAATATGAAACTACATCTGGCTGTTCATAGCCAGAACAACAATTAGCCCATTTATGAAATCTTTACAATAATTAACCTATTCATAAGAATATTATAATTTGTTATTCTAATTCATTGTATAAGTTTCATCATATTAATCTCAGTCCTACAATAGGGAAAAACAATCTAATTAGGACCTTGAGTCTAAGATAAGGAGCACTGAGATCACTACCCATGTAAAGTCACAGCTTGAGGAAAAGTTTGAACATTTTAATCAGAACCCTAGGATATTGAAAAAAAACCTAATTAGGAGTCTTGAGACTGAGCTAAGGAGTGCTGATGTCACCTTGAGGTCAGGAAAACAGACACATGAATGGAGCTTTGAATATCTGAGACTGTAGAAGAATTACATATTCATTTATATGTAGACTATTCCCTGTGTTTAGGTTATAAATACACAGATAAAAAGAAGGTAGCCTGAGCTGGAGAGTAAAATGCATTTTGTAAATTGGCGCAGTAGACCTTTATCTATATTATTGTTATAAAAGTTCTTATTTACTGTACGTATGGGTGGCTACTGGTTTTTTTTTGCTTGTAATGACAACCGCATCCATTTATGGGCAAGAAGTAACATTCTATCAAAAACTGATGACATTTAGTTTTCTGTGCCCCACCAATTGAGATCTGTCAGACGCAGCAGGCTTGGTATTTGCATTACATGATACATTAAATGAGTCCTAGCATAGCTAAACCTAAATACAAAACACACATTAGCTGGATATTAGGGATGTACATGGAAAAATTTGTTTTTGATTCGTTCGTTAATAATTTAATTTCAGTTCTATTATATTCTGTTTTATTCTAATCTATTATTTTTTATTCTATTCTTTTATATTATTTTCTATTCTGTTTTATTTTATTTTTTTCTATTTTATTATATTCTTTTTCTATTCTATTTTCTTCTCTTCTCTTGTATTCTTTTCTATCGTATTCTATTCTATTCTTTTTATTTTCTATTCTATTTCACTTTTATACCTCACTGTATTTATTGCAATATGTTTCCATTTTGAGTTCTAATTCATTTTCGCATTCGAATTTGAATGCATTTTCAAATTACAATTCAAATAATTTGCTATTTTGTTTTGTTATAATTTCAGATTTGTTGAAATGTTACCATTGTAAAATTCGGACCAAATTTTGATTTGGAATGATACAAATCACACATGTCTACTAGATATGCCCAAGTATATTTTATAAAGTATGGCATCCATGGTTGGATACATCTAGACTACTTTTAAAAAATATTTTGCCGAAACCCTTCCATATGTAAACCAATGTTTCTCAACTGGGATGCGGTTTGTGATCCCCAGGGGTGGTGCAAGCACAGGACCCAGTATGCCCTGGATTACCATCTTGAGCTGCCAAGATGCAGACAGGCTGGCTGCCAGCACCATGACAACCAATTACACTATGGGCAGGGTGCGCAGCATCATTCATTGCTATGGTGTTAGCAGCTAACCCATCTGCACCATAGCCACAACAGGAAGTAAGAGGAAATCCTATCAAAGTGAGTAAATCCTGGGTTGGAGAAGAACCCCTATTAGATATTTGCTGTTGAGAAAACTTTTCCTCCCTTATTTTTTGGGTCACCATGACATGCAGCGATTTATTATTAATAAGCACAAGACATCAATAAAGCAACAACAAAATAGATTGTTTTCAAAAGTTTTCTACTCTTGGAATGGGTTTAAGAAGGCCTCATGTGTCACAAGTTATGCAATTGTCTTTCCTTCCACCAAAAGTCATGAATTTCCAGGGACCTCCTTAGCACCCCTAGTAACAGGACATTAACATCGGTAGCCATTGTTACTAAAGAACTGTTCAGACCTGTGTGAGCCAGTTTGTTTGTGCATCCCGCTGGTAGGTCAGCCAACCTATTTCAATGGGCTGCCCTACCCACTAGAAATGCGGGAAAAGTAGTTGTGACCCTTTTTTTTTTTTTTAAATTGCCCAGAAGTGAATCGCATGGTGCTGCAGCACTGCATAATTTAAATCACGCTTCAGGTTGCCAATGCTTGTGGGTGCCATTAAGAATTATTGGCACCCATGCTAAAGTGCAGCATGTTATCCACCCACAGAGGTGTGAGCTTAAGCCCAGTACACACTGCAGGTTTTTTTTTTTTTTTCATCCAATCCATAGGGTTGAACTAAAAATATACTTTTATGCCAGTTGAAAGAAAGTGTCACACAGCGCTGGTATCATCCACAAGAAACTTTATTGGAGACTGCCCATACAGAGTACCATGGCAGAATCATTTTCTGTCTGAGCCGTCTCCAATCAAGTTTCTTGTGGATGATATCAGCGGTGTGCGGCCCTCCTTTTCAGACTTGCATCATCTGCTACAGAAGTGTGAATAGGCTCCATGCCGGTCTGCATCTGCCCTTTACAGTTTAAGTCTTAAATTATTACTAAAACCAGTAAAAATCAAATTCAGAGGCAATTATTTAATATGAAGATTAGATACACTGCTATAGTATTACAGGGCAGCCATAATGCTGATGAGAGCCACAATGAAATTGAGTTTGACACCACTGGTATACAGGATGGAATTAAGCTAGCCTCATTCCATGACAGTGGCTAAGTGGGTAGCACTTCTGACTGGCAGTACTAGGGTTGTTGGTTCAAATCCCAACCGCTGCACCAGCTGCCTGGAGTTTGCATGTTCTCCCTGTGCCTGTGTGGGTTTACTCCATGTATTCCATTTTCCTCCCATATTTCAAAGACATGCTGGAGGTTAATTGGCTTCTGTCTAAATTGCCCTAGTATAAGTCAGAGATCTTAAATTGTATGCTCCTTGAGAGTTAGGGACTGATGTGAATGTACAATATACTGCATCTGTAAAGCACTGTGTAATTTGACGGTACTATATAAGTACCTGTAAACAACAACAACAAAAAAAGTATGCAATGCCTTTTAATGCTGGGCTTGAGTGATTGGAGGGATAGCAAAAGTAGGTAACTACTGAATAGAGAAAGGCAAGTTTTGCTTTTTACAAAGCTTTTGTAGACCACAGTTTTGCACATTGAATTAATGCACTGAGAGAGATGTACTGAGACTTTTTTTTTTAACTTCGGGGGAGTCCATTTTTAAAAAAAAAATTGGATGAATGTGACCAACATTTACCAATCCTTGACCAAATTTTGACCATATTTTGCTTAATACAGTGTTTTCCTAGCATTGTCAGCTCCATTTTGTGGCCATATTGTGATGTTTTTTTAAAAAATAAGGTACTGCATATCAGAAACAAATTCTCATTATGGCCACTAGATGGCTCTGACGATCATAGGAAATCACTGTATTAAGGGCAGAACAGTCAAAATTATTCAAGGATGGAATGCTCATCACATTCACCCAACATATATTTTCTAAATAGACCCATCTATGTCTATGCTCTGTATGTTTTATAGATTTTTATTACAGATGTGTTTATCATATCACATATGCAGTATTTTGCTTTTAGCTTAGTTTTTTTTTTAACGCTGTATGTACAGTACTCATACTTTTAACCTTCATCAAGTGAGCCAACATTGTATATTGTTTGAAGACAATGATTAGATTTACAGCAGGTTTCCAAAAGTGGTCATACTGGCCATTTGTTCTAAGGCCAAAGGGTCCAATGTAGACCGTAAGCCCTGGTTCATACTGGATCCACTTGAAGTTGAACGATTTTAAAGTGGCATGTCAGTGTGACTTCAGGTGTGACTTGTCAGACATCTGTGCGACTTCATGCACAGATGTCTATGCAAGTCGCACCTGAAATCGCAAAAAATAGTGTAGGAACTTCTTTCAAAATACAGTCGGAGTTGCACCGATTTGAACGGTTCCATTATCAACAATAGGGTGCGACTTTTCCATCCAGAGAAGGGGTATAGGGAGTATTCCACAAAGAAGGAAAGAGTTGGTGGGTGGCTGTTATAGGGATTCTACTCCCTATCATCCTAAATCCCTATAACATCTGCAGGATCTTAATCTCTTCATTAATGCAGAGATCTTCAGCATGGACAACAGTGTGCATTCAAAGCCATTAAAGACTGACTCTTACAATATTCATCCTTTTAGCTACAGTGCTCCAAGTCCTTAGGAAGAAAGTTAAAAGGAGAAGTATGGGGTTTGTAAAAAAATAAACATCCATGCTCACCTCTATGCTGCAGCATCAGTGGGAAGCTGCAGCTGTCCCATGTTAGTTCTAAGCCCAAGAACTGAGCGATCCACATGACTGGGACTCCTCAGTTCTCTGTCTGCTCAGGGTGGAGAGCAGTGACTGTCAGTCACCATTCTCCACGGTGGGATGAGTTGCATCCCAAGAACGCCATCCCT